CCTGATATTCACAGAGGAAACCCGCTGCCCTTCCTCTGCAATAACAGAGCCATCTTAGTAGAGGGTGACTGCTTTCTCCCATGTGTCCCCAACAATGACAGCACCCCCGTGACAGCAAACGGAGATGTCCCCTCCCTCCCTGCCTCCCTGAGACCCACGGCTGTGCGGCGGCTGTGTTCTGGAGCCGAGGCGGCCCTTGTGTAATGTTACTTGACTTATACATATTTTATTATGTTTGGCTGTTGGTGATGTTGAGATGAAAATTATTTCCAGATTATAATAAAGGCTGCCCTCTATTAAAGGAGTGTGGTTAGATCACTGACCATATTAACATCCTCAAAATTGGGGACTGTATATCAAAGCGTTGAGGAAGCAGGGGTTTCAAAGGTTGGGGGCGACACGGGGAACCCAACAACCCACATGTAGTGTTCTTGGCTTAAAGGAACTGCTGAACCTTGGAAAAGATTTATACCACATTTATTATGATGCGGCAACATCACCAAGGATATAAACCAGTCATTGGCACTCTCTCAAAGAACACATCATTGTAACTCGTTATAACAATACTGCTGTGATATGTGCTCGTAATATTTATAAAGGCTAAGCTATGAAAACAGTACATGCCAACTGTCAGCAGTGATGTATCATTTAAAAAAGAGACAGAGAACGTACACGACATAATGGTTTAAATGAACTCTAAAAATACGCCGCTCTGCTGAAGCCGGTTGGCCGTCTGGACCTCTGGGGTCACACACCGCTTTCCAGGATTCGCTGCAGCCTAGCCTCGGGGAGCTCTCTTCCCTTCCTGCAGCTATTTTCAGAAATTCTGCAGTGTTCTTAGCAAACCTCACCTGATCCTGTATCTGGTTACTTAGTGCCTAGCAGAGTGCTTTGCTAAGAATGCTTGCAGTCGATATATGTGGGCCGATTTCATTTTTATACAAATGTTGGCCAGTCAGAAGGTGGGGCTGATGGTTTTGCTTCCTTGTGGAAAGAAAAGTGATTGGGGCCATCTTGAAGGGGCGGTCATGCGGTCTGGCTGATGATTCGGGCTCCTGACTTTGGGCCGGCTCTGGGAAGATACTCAAGGAGCTTTTCAGAAACCAGCGTGACGTGAGGAACCAACAATTTCCCAGTGAGATGGCTGTTGGACAGCTGAAACCACAGCAGCAACCACGGGAGCAAGGGAGAGAAGGAACATTTAATAGTCAAACCGGAAACTGACCATGGGGGAATGACTTCTGAGGGGTGGGCAAGGTGCTTAGTCCATAAATCATTCTATCTAGTAAAAAGCCAAAATAATTGGCAAAATCCCTCCCGTCACTACAGAAGGGAGACAGGAAGGGAAGGGGGGATGGCAGCGAGAGAAGAGAGAGTGACCACTCTGTAAAGTATGAGCTCTGAACATGTGGGCACAGACAGAACTTCTTGTAATTAGCGGATCAGCAATAAAATGCCGAAGGGAACTGTCCCCTAATGAGGAAGAAGGTGAACAAGGCAGACACATTTCCTTCGACCAGTCTGTGCTAAGGTTCAAAACAGATATGGAGGTAGTTAAGAGACCAACCATGGGGAAAATCTAGCTGGTATTATTTGGAACTTTATATGCATTTATGAACACATGCATATCCACATAAATGATCTATTTAGAGAGCTATAGATTATTTCTTCCAGAGTGCAGGGTTATTTGTCTCCACTAAACCTTTATTCATTTTCTTAACCATAAAAGGTCTTGAGTTAAAAGCAACTTACGGTATTTTGAAGAAGCGATACCTCAATGATTTGGAGTCAGTCAACCCTTACAGTTAAAATACTTTGTCCAGCTTTATCAGCTGCTCTTATGGAATGATGACAGATCCATTCCTGCTTTACAGAGCCACGAGCCTTAGGTGCATCAGTCACATAGATGAGGTGAAATGTACCTAGAAGAGCAGTGAGGTAAGGGGATGAAGGAAAGGGAAAGAGACAAAGAGTGGGACCAGGAGGCCCTGCCAGCAGGGTGGGGCTGTGGTCAGTGGGAGAACATGGAGGGAGGGGGAGGGAAACCACTTAGGGAGGTGGCCGACCAAGGAGATCAGAGGGCTCAGAGAACATATTTCACAGGCTTGTTCTGGAGGGCTCAGCTATGGTGATAGCCTTGCTGGCTTCTGGCTGATTAGAATGCAATGACCCGGTGACCCTTAGTTTCAGCAAGGTACCATTCCATTACAGAACTCCTGGAGGAATTTCCACTCTTGCCAGAGGCCTCAGCAGGGAAGGAAGCTGGGAGTCATGCTTTGAGAACTCTGCAAGTTAAGAGGTTGTCTGGGAATGTCCATGTCACTCTGGAGAAAGAAGGGCCCCGTTTCTCACGAAGCAATCATTCCTGGAAGCTGACTTGCTTTATCCATGCTCTATCAATCTGCCACCTTTTAGGAGAACTAAATCTAGTCCAAACATTTGTATAATGCTATTTGATAGTTTGAGACCAAGTCATATTTTATCAGACCCACACTGTCATAGTTCCAACAGAGAGGCTAAAGAACTACCCTCTAAACATGAAGTTAAAAAAAAACTTGTGTTCCTCATTAGCCACAGACTTTATTTATTTTAAAGATTTTATTTATTTATTTGACAGAGAGAGAGAGACAGCGAGAGAGGGAACACAAGCAGTGGGAGTGGGAGAGCGAGAAGCAGGCTTCGCACTGAGCAGGGAGCCCGATGCGGGGCTCGATCCCAGGACCCTGGGATCATGACCTGAGCCGAAGGCAGCCACTTAACCGACTGAGCCACCCAGGTGCCCTAGCCACAGACTTTAAATTTCACCGTTGGAAATTCCTCAACTTAGCCGAACGTTAGGTGAAACAGCCTTAATCATGGACATTCTCACAACTGTTAATACTTGACGTGCATACTGAGAAATGTTCTCGTCACAAAGTTGGGTTTGTCTCTCTCTGTTATCCTCAAACCCCAAAACTTATACAACAATGATAAGAGGACAAAATATGAACAAAAGAATTAGGTGCTCTGAAAAATCCCCTACATCCTGCAGGGTTTGGTACTAAAAACCCAAGGATTCTAAAGTCTAGGAGGCTGGGGCACCTAGGTAGCTCAGTTGGTTAAGTGGCCAGCTCTGATTTTTGGCTCAGGTTATGATCTCAGGATCCTGGGATTGAGCAACCCCCACTCGGGCTCCACACTCTGCGGGGAGTCTGCATGAGGATTCTCTCTCTCCCTCTGCTCTTCCCTCCACTCACGCTCTCTCTCTCTCTAAAATAAATAAATCTTTTTAAAAAAATAAAGTCTACGGGTCTTTTCTGAGCGCAGGAAAATGGTTTCCTCTAGAACAGCAAATCATCTCACCCATAGGTCTCCCTGGTTGATTTCCGCACTGGGTCTCAAAGGTAACAATGCCTTCTCACTTAAGGAACATTAACTATTTTAGATGTGACCTCATGTAACAGTGAATTATAAACATTAGACATAAAAAATTTGGAAAGGGAGATTCAGCTGGAGAAAATGCTATGCTACTGCATTTTCTTCTTTTAAAAATTTGTATTCCATGTTCATTCCATGATTGCATCAGACATTTAAATAAGGAATGTTCCTCTGCAAATTCCTGAACAGAGATAACTCCTCTAATTTTGGAGCTGGAAGAGACCTTGATCCAATCCTTCAATTTCATGAATAAGGAAAAGAAGATCAAGTGACTCACCCGTGCTCATATGAAAGAAATGGTTTATTTTAGGAGTTAAGGAGCTCAACTTAAATGAAATGAGCTAACCAAGCACATGCTCCATTTCCTATTGTACCCTGAATGGAGTTTAAAATTCGAAGCTGGTGTTTAAACCTGAGTGACCACACTTCTATCGCTTCTCCCGCACTTCCAGGCTAAGGGAAGTCGATCTGAAAATGTTCTTAATGACCTTCATTCCCAGGATCACATTCAGTCTTTCCCTCCTGGTGTCATCAGCAGATGGGTCACTCTGTCCAGAATTGGCCCTGGCTGCAGAAAGATGCAGGCTTTACAATTCTAGAGGAATACCAGGCAGTCTGGCTGAAATGGAGAGGAAGAAAGCATAGCAAGAGAAGAAAGTGGCCATGGTCCCAAGAACTTGTTCAGTGTTGCTAGCTGCGGAAAAAAAACTTTATGTTCTTATCACTTTTCCAGAGCCTTCCATCATGGAATCTCTTCTGGGGATAGCCTGACACTCCACAGATAAGCTATTGCAACTGTCTGAGGGAAGTTCTGGCTCCCTTTTCTAGGAAGGAGGATCCCTGAGAAGACCCGTGCATATTTGTCATGTTAGCTATACCTACAGACCCATCTGTCTTGTACTGAAATGAGCAGCTCACTCTTCACCAGTTCACAAGCACCCAACGGCAGGGCCCTTGTGAAGGACAGTGCCTCTCCCAGGGGACAGCGTTCAGCTTTGACTTGGGTTGAACTGTCGCTCGCTCGCTCGCTCTCTCTCCCGTCTTGCTCTCTAGTTCTATTCTCCCTCCCTCCCTCTCTTTTACAGGCACGCACGCACGCGCGCGCACACGCACACACACACGCGCGCGCACACACACACGCGCGCACACACACACGCGCGCGCACACACACAGCCCCACCCCCACTCCCTCCCCCTCACGCTCGCGCTCTCCCAGGCTTTGTCTGGTGGCTCCCGCCCGCTCTGTCTGCACCCCCAGGGCGTCCCGGTCCCCAGCCCCTGGGCGCGCAGGGGACGTCGCGGCGCCGCAGGCCTGGGGGGACTGGGCCGCGTCGACGGCCGGATGTGTGGGACGGGGCGAGACGGAGGCGCACAGCCCCCCACAGCGGGAGTCCCCGCCGACTCCCGCGGGTTCCTCCCACCGCCGAGGGCCCGAGCGCGCCCCGCGGCCTCCCCCGCAGCCGCCGCGCGAACAAAGGCCGGCGGGCTCGCGGCGCTCCCCCTAGCGGCGGCTCCTCGCGCGGGCGCCGGCGCGGCCTGCAGGGCTTCCTCCGCCGCGCGGGAACGCCCTCGCCACCCAGCCGCCCGGGCGTGTAGCCGGCGCGGCGCTTTCTCTCTCTGGCCTCCCGGACGGGGCCCATTTTGACGTACTTGTCGTCCAGTCAGAAAAGAAGCCGTTCCCAAGCCCACGTGCTTTCCTCAGTGAGACAAAGGAGTAAGTGGTTCCCTTCACTCGGAGGGTGAGGAGCGGTTCAGGGGGCGCACTTCCGTCCTCGGGCTTGGACGCCGCTGCTGGAGGCTTACGTTGTCATTTATTTGCTCCAGCTGGAAGCGGGGCCTCAAAGAAAACCCTCGAAAATTTTTCTGGAAGTGTGTACGGATCTACTGGATGGAGGGACATATTCCGCTTGTCAGAGCGGACCGAGAGCCCAAGAAACCCTAATGAAAAAAATCAAAACACAAAACACCCCCCCCCCCCAACCCTACCACCCAGTAGCCTCCATGAAAAGGCTGACCACTTTTATCGACCCCAATGCGGGGTCTTCGCGTGGCTAGCGAAGGGATGGTTCAGAAATTGTCCTGAGCCACATGGGGGGCCGGGGGAGGTCAGTCTCTGGGCATAGCGGATGTGCCCCAAGTAACGACGGGCAGAGGAAGAGCAGAACCTCTGCGGGGTTCTGGTTTGTGAAAATGACTCAACTTGTTTGGGGGTGAACTTGAAAGTGTGCAGCCCAGATGGAAGGTTTAAGATCCGTTCTGCCTGACACAGCTGTGGTCTCCAAGCTGCCTTTGGATTGAGCCGGGCCACACCCACAGCTGTAGCCAAGCCGTGCTATTTGAAACTCCCCCAGGGCCAGCTGCTGTGAAAAGAACAGTTTATTACCCAAAATAAAACAAAATGCCCGCTCATCTTTACAGTTTCACGGTCTGCCTTGGGGAGAAGAAAAGGAGTTTTAGTTTTCACCCCTTGTGCACCAAGTCTGGGGGCCAATTCTGGGAAGATCTGGAAAGTTCCCGTTACGCTGTCGACTCACTGTCTGACCACGGACCTAGCATTGCAGGCAACTGCTTCTCTTTGTGGGAAATGGGGAGAATGACATTTGCCATGGGGATGTTATAGAGTGCCCTGGCCATAAGGCTAGATTCAGATGACATGCTTAATATAATCATTTTTCTCCATCATTTCAAACAAAGATAGCTGAGATTGGGCCACTTGTTTGCCCTAATACTAACTTTAGGAAGTTCATTCCACTGGACTCCTGTTTTTGAAGAGCAAGATTTAAAAGAAACAGGTGAACCTGAAAGGCTGTATAAAATTTGGTTATTGAGGCAAATATTGAAGTTTTTCTTCTCTAAATACAACACAGACAAGAGACAGGGAAAGAATCTTGTCAAATGAAGCATCAGAACAATTGGAGTAAAGATGAAAAGTTCTCGCCCCATAATATTTAGCATATGGGCTAAATGCTCTTTATTTAGTGTTAAGAGGAAAAGAGCCCCCTTGTCCCTTTATTATCTCTCAGGCCCCTACTATACTGAATTAGCCTAGAAAAACGACTAGTTTGCACTCTACACAGGCGAATCCAGCCTGATAGTGGGTATGAGAGCATTTCTGTGGTAGTGAAGCATCTGAAAGAAACATGAACTAAGTTGATCAACCAGATGTTTTGTCTACACAATACTAAGCATTAAGATATTTCCCTGTATGTCAGTACTTGGTGTCATATAGATGAAACACTTGGATGGATAATTGAGTTTTTTTTCTTTGTTCAAGTATTTATGATATACTGAAACAGCTGAAGAAGTATTCAGTTCAAAGTTCAGAGGGAGGAAACAGAGAAACAGAGGAGACAAGAGAGGTAAATAAAAGCAAGGACCAGGACCTCCACCGACCTCTGTGGGGTCACAGCCTTAAGGGTGCACAAGCAGAGGGCACCTTTTATGAAGAAAAAGGCACTACTTCCTAATGATAGCAACCCCATGCCAGAACATGTGACTTTGTTGTCAGAGCGCGGATTAGGTTTCAGCCTGCATTCTTCCCTCAGCTCCAAGCTTTTGTGCAGTGTGCTAACCATGCAACAGCACTTAGTAGACTTGGAAAGTCATCAAAGGCAGTAGGAGAAATGTTAAGTATTAAGGGACAAGTGGATATGAAGAAAGGGATAGAGTTTTACTTTACTCACAGGCTTCCCCAATGAATGTGCACAGTACAGAGGGCACTCCTGTTAATGTCAATTTTGGCCCAACCAGGAAAATATTTGCCCCCCCCCCTTTTTTTGGCATGTGTGAGTGCCATTTATTTATTTATTTATTTATTTATTTATTTATTTATTTATTTATTTATTATTTTTAAGTTAAGGAGAGGCTTGCTATTAATTCCAGTCATGTATTTACTGCCTTCTCTATTTGGTGCTGTGTCTGTCAAGTTTTCACTTCCCTGGAATTTTAACTCCCATCTCCCTCCCCACTCCACTCTCCCGTCTGTAACACAAATGCCTTTTTAAATTTTTGCTAGTTTAATTAGTGCATGAATTCATTTTGATTGATGAATTGATGTGGCTTATTGGCATGAAGATTTTCCTTCCCTCCCAGCACTGTATGTAATAGGAACGGCTTGTGTGGGGGTGACACCTGCTTTGATGCTGCAGACACTCTGTTTGATGCCGAAAGGCCAGCCGTTCAGCTGTGATTCTCTAGTCTCTGGGGAGATATTTTTTCATAGCTGTTGGTGGAGTGGGGGAGGGCTGGTGGTGAGTAGGAGGAGAGAGTGGTGTGGAAAGTGATGGCTGAGCAACAACATAGCTAAGAATTTAATGTTTATATTTTGTTGGACTGATTTTGAAATAGTCATTGTTCACACCCTGGACCCAGGAGGAAAGGAGACCTTGACTTTCTGCCATCCGTAGTAAGGCATTGTGAATTAGTGCAGTGAGTTGAAAATTTCCAATGCCTCTTGCCAAAGAATTAAGCTGAAATTAGCACACAGTTGGTAACAATTTGATTTCTGGTCTCACTTTAATCAGAGAGGATTAATGGTTAAAATTTTTATTTCTAATCTCGCTTTAGCCTGACTAACAAAAGCTGTCACTTTCATGAAAACTGCTAAATGAAGAGGGATTTATAAGCTCTCTGAGAGAATAAAAGCTAAAGTGCTAAGGCCCACTTTTCAGACCATAAAATTTTCAAATTCCCCCAATAGTCCCTCACATACTGCTAGAAGAGCTGACTGCTGCTGGGCTCAGTAATGTTTATTGCTGGACAAAGGTGGTGGAAGAACTTGAGTGCATTCTTAATGACTTCAAAACTCCAGATGAAATGCAGTAATCTTCCTGGGGAAAATGAATATTACAGAGCAGAGTAGGAAGTAGGATTTTAATTGTGAATAGAGCATTCCTCAGAGTATTTCATACATTCATATATATGTAATATATACACCTCTTTTTCCTTTTCCTGTTCTCACCTGAGTTAGACCTTCCTGTTACCTTCCCTCCATTTGAGTTCACAGCAAAGTCGTACAACTGGTGGAGTCTGTCCCCACTCTACTAAGATTTTCCCTGAGTTTCCTTTGAACAGTGTCTCATTGACTCCCACCCCCAACAGACCCTCACTGCAGATCCTTGTCCAGACTTTGCCCCGTCTCATAACCCCACTTCCCACCAAAACCAAGTGTTGTTACAAATCTTTATGCACTTGTTTCTCACTTTTTCATTATGAGTGTCTGGAGAGCAAAGTCTGTGCCCTTACTTACTGTTTGTGCCACTGTGTCCACAGTGTCTTGTGGGCTGAAGGCATGCTCAAGTCAGAGTTGCAGGTGCAATGCCGGGATGCTGGGGAGGGGATTTTCGCATCACGTGAGTAGTGGGACCAGATGGTCTTTAGAGTCCCTTCTACTCCCCAGTTGCATGATACTAAAGCCTTACCAGAAGGGGCAACTGGCTTTCTCACTCCTTTTCTCTAGTTTGGTCGAAAATAAATATGAGCCTTTTCTCCAAGGTTTAATTATCTTCTGATAAATATAATCCTCAATGACTGGACTGCTCCCAAAGATTATACCGCAGAATGAATACCTCTTTAAATAATGGGCGGGGCAAAAAGAATGAATTCTCCAACGTGAAGATCCAAGAACCATCCGCTCTCACAACTCTTTGTTCTTCCAGTCATATTAATTCTTCCTCTCTCATCAAAATGAGTCCGGTATCTGTTATTTTGGAGGAGTCCCTCCACCTCTAATGAATTAACAAGCATCTGAGAATTTAAGTGGTGCCAGGAAACCTTGAAACACCATGGTCCTGGCTCATGGTGGCCTTAATCTTTCCAGTGAGCCTTCTGCTAAATGGGGTGCTATTCAGCATTGTCAGGCAGTACTGGTCAAGGCAGCCCACAGAGCTGCCCTCACAGCTTTCCCTCACCCACCTCAGTCCAGCCATGGGGCACCCTGCCAGCTATCCAGGTCATGGTCCTTACCATCTGTCCACTACTTGGTCTCCCTGCACATCAACCACCTCTAACCCTTGGGGTTCTTCCCCTTCCTCATCTTCTCTATGATCCTTAGACAAGAAAAGCCTCCCTATTTTTTCTTAATTCTTAGGCAGAGAAAGACACAACCGTCTTAACTTGTAGTGGATGAGGAGAGATTGGGTAGATTAGTGACACCCTTCATTTCTACTGAAATAAATCTATCTGTATGTATCTATCTACCCATCCATCTATCTGTCTACCATCTATCTCCATGTCTGCATTTCCATATCTATCTTAGGTTGATTCAGTATTGAACTCTAACTTCCTGTTTGACAAACACTCTTCTAGTCCACCTTCTTCAGTGGTACCATACCTGTGTTGCCTGGGTTTGCATGTGATTGTATGCAGCAGAAACTTGACTACAGTGGCTTAATACCAAACAGGGGTTTATTTTCCTCATGTAATAAAAATTCCCAGGATAGGCAGTTTAGGGCTGGTGCCGTTGCTCCCTGTCATCACTTGTGTTCTCTCTTCCTAGCCTTCGTGTGCTCCTTTCATCTATATGATTTAAAGTTGGCTGCTTCCAGGCAGGAAGAAATGAGTCAAGCAAACCCTCTCTTCATGAAGCTTTGTCTTTTTACTTAGGAATAGGAGTCTTTCCAAAGGATCTTGCTTGTATCTGTGATCAGAACCATGAACCCTGGTTATATGGGAAGCTGAGTAGATATGTTAATTTTCCAGCCCTTCTAGCAGAGG